AATTGGTGCCAAAGGTGCTTCAACAAAGTATTGAGCAAAGGCTGTGAATACTTAAGTACATGTGATAGTTTTCTGGCACTTTTTTTTTTTTTTTTTTTTTATATAAATAAACAACCGACAAAAACATCTTCAATTAATGCTTGCCAAAGATCACGCAGCGATAGATACACACACATATGTGCTTGGAAAGGATGAGACCTCTTGGCTCTTGCTTAGTCACGTTTCCTGATAGCTTTACAGCTCAGGAGGGATGGATAGAGAGAGAGAGGGGGAGGAAAAGCGAGATAGCGGAGGCAAACGGTGGGCTGCTTTTTTTTTTCCCACTGCGACAGGATCTGTCACAGCACCAGATTCTGTCTGTATCAGCAGTTCGTGCTCCACCCAACTCGACTCTCAGTCTCGGCATGAGGATAGTAGCCCTCCAGGAAACAAGGCAGAGAGCTTCCAGGAAAAGACATTCCAGCTGAAGAATAATATCCATAGGGCAAAGTTGTCTTTTATTGCTAGTCTGAAACCAGTTTATACTTGATTTATCAGGTGTAGGGCACTGGACTTGGATCAGCACACAGGGCAGACACTATACAACGTGTCCACATTTTTTTTTTTTGACCTTAAGATGTGACAAACCATCGAATGCTCTGTATTTTTGCTTCTCCATTTTTAAGATAGATCATTTTGAATAATTGTATTTGGCTGTTCTAATCATTTAACAATTCTTCTTCTTTATTTCTGTAGGTCCTCGTTGCTGAACAGGACATAAATCCTGTAAGGAGCTCAAAATCAAGTGAACCTTCTGACAAGCAAGCTGTGTCCCCCTTTTGCCCCCTCCAAAAGTGAGAAGTATCCCTGTTTTTCAAGGGAGATGACAATCCATGTTTTGCTGAACGGTGCATTTTTATGTTGGAAAGAGCAGCATCTTTTTACAAGGCCCTTCTCTTTCTGTCTTTCATACTGGATATTTCAGGCTTTCTCTTTTGTACCTCCCCCCCCCTCTTTAAAGCATGATTTGAGCAGAAGGAAAAATGACATGTCCCTTGTCTACAAACCAATTCCAGTCTATGCTGTTGTTCTTCTCAGTTGACTGTAAGAGTTTGCCGCTGGTTGGTAAACTCAATTGGAACAGGTTGGGGAAAAGGGAAAAAAAAAAAAAAAAAAAAAGATTATAAACCAGCATTATGTGTACTGGGTTCCAGTACTGTGTATTTTTATTGTACCTGAAGCATTAATTTAAGTATCGATTTATGATGTCACTATTTTTTGATATTGTGTTTGTCAGTTTTTTATGCATATGAGATGTGAGTAATGCATTGCTTTAACCTCTGTGAGTGACCATTGATGTGTGCGTGATAAACCCGCTGAGGGCTGCCGAATGCACTGGATGCTTCTGTGAATAAAGATGTCAATTCCTTTCTCGTGTACACTCTTTTGTGATAATTCTGCAGCATTAATAAGCTCCCCCATCTCTTTTTTTATTATTGTCAAGGCTTCGCTGTAGACGTATGTTGACTGTTGATGGAAAGACAGTGTTCGTTTGTCAGTGTTACAGTTGGGTGATATTTTCAGAAGTACAGCTCACTGTGATAACTGCACACACTCTTGGCCGCAGCAGAGGAGAATGGTGTTATGTCGCTCTCTGGTGGTGAAGTGGAAAATGACATATGGGCTAGGGGACCGTGTTGTACTTATCAGGGAGGAGTTGATTACATGAAGGCCCTTCATACCTGTGGTAGTTGGGATTTGAGTCAATTTGTATGATGTATTACATTTTATTACTGTTATTTTGTTAATATTTTCTATTTTCCTTTGATTTTATTTATTGGCCTCAAAAATATCTGTAGTTGTCCTGTTTTTGTCTGCTTTGTTTTAAAGATATTTACAGGCTTTATTATATTCTATGTTATTTTGTACTAGATACATGTTTTATAGTAATCAGATATTGCCCTATGTAATATTTTATAATGTTTATAAAAGTTTGTATTAGGAAAAACTAATATTTGAAGGTACTAGCACATGTGAAGTTAATGTCAGTCAGTCCCTTTTTTCTTATTGGAAACTCCACAAATACATACTCTTTCTTTTTTTTTTTCTCGGTGTAAATATCATGTCTTTTTCTCCACTCTGTATATTGCTATGTATTTTGATCGTTCGGGCAGAACCTCATGAATAGTGGTATGGAGTGAACAAGAAAAAGAGGAATTAAAGAATGCCTATGAAATGAAGCTATTTGAGACTTATTGTGTTTTTGTGTCTTTGTGTGTCAATTCAATATGCAGAATATTCATATTAAAAAGATTTGCTAAGTGAATAATATTCTGAGGAGATTATTTCTAGGTATAGTATGTACTGAAGGTTTTTTTTTATATATACCTCCTAATGATACACTACCGTTCAATAGTTTGGGGTCGGTATTATTATTTTTGAAAGAAGTCTGTTATGTTTACCAAGGCTGCACTTATTTGATGAAAAATAAAACCATAACATTTGGTTTTAATAATAATATTGTGTAATAATCAATAATATTGTAATAATAATATTACAACAACTATTATAGCCTAATATTATCACTTAAAACTTCTATTGTAATATATTCATATATTAATATATTCTTAAAAAATGTAATACGTTTATTCCAGTGATGACAAAGCTGAATTTTATGATTTTGTGCTCAATAAACTTTTTTTAAATATTATTAATATCACTGTGGAAAACAGTGTTGCTTACTAATTTTGCTAAAACTTTTACACATTTTTTAAAATTGAAAATAAAAAAGTGTAACAATGTAAAAGTCTTTACTGTCACCCTTGATCAATAGAACTTGAATATTTTTAATTTGATAGAATCCTGTTATATGCAATGAGTAAATATAAACAAACAAAAATAAATAAATGTTGTAGAGCAGGGGTCGGCAAGTAAGTTTGGCATCGGACCAAAAAAAAAATGTCCCCCTAGATGGCGGGCCAGAACATAATATACTATATATAGTCAAGGATAATTTAAGAAATTAATTGATGAAAAATGCAACTAGAATTGCCTGTGACAGACTGTTACAGTGTCTTTTGTAACTGGTAGTGAGCTGTTACTCTGTGTTAAATCCTGTAGTAGGACAGTCATTAACAAAAAGTCACACTTGTGTCGCGGTGTCCGGGTTTTACACTGGATAAATTAATAAAGCAGAGTAGTGACACGTAACCTGGCAAGTATCTTCATTCACCAACTTGCAACACAGACCGCCTTGCTAAAACACACATATGTGGGAGATGCGGAATGGATAAAAATAAGTCAAAAAATAAAAAAGGACTTGAATAAGCCCATTAATGGCATGTTTTATTTCCTCTTTCTATACTGTGAATAATAAATGTGTATCATTTTAAAGCCTAACTTATTGTAATAATTATTTGACGTAGCCTACTTTTACACAGCATTATTCCTTGGCATCCTCACGTAGGCTACTAAACTGCATTTTTTAAAATAGTTTTGCGTGCTGAAGGTTCGCTATTATGTCGTGTGCAGAGTGCTAGCTGGTGAGAGAAAATGGCACTATCATAGAGTCTAAAGAGGAAAGTTGACAGCGAAAATAGGGCATACAAAGAAGAATGGAAAGACAGCTGTGCGTTCATCCTACTTAGTTTTGTGAATGCAAACAAAGCCCGTGTGTCTCATCTGCAACGAAGTTGTCGCTGTTTGCAAAGAATTTATGACTCTATGAACTTTTCAAATTAAAAGCTCTCAATTAATCTCAAAATAAAACATTACTGCAAAAACGTTGTCGTACTTTTATTTTGAAGGCAACATCGCTAAAGACGAAGTGAATTTGAGTAACTGTTGCTGTCATGGCAGATCTATTTCAGAACCAGTCGCTAAATAATTTGGCTGCGGGCGCGGGCCAGATATTATTGCTGGCGGGCCAGTTTTGGCCGCCTGTTGCCGACCACTCTTCATGATAGGCGTTGTGTAGTCTGTAAAGTTCAGCTCATCAGACAGTCCTCCAAAGATCCTGACTCACCTGGGTGGTGGTATTGTTGAGGAGTTCAGATGAACAGTGATGAACAGTGGTGCTGTAATGAGTTTTTTGGCTAGGTTGAGCTGGAAATGTTAATTTAGCCAGCCTGAGATTTGTACAGGGATTAGGTCCATGTAAGATCAGCAGACTGGAGTGAGCTGGGAGTCATAGAGCGCAAGAATGATGGCACCAAGTGATGTATTTTGAGAAGAGGAGGGCGCAGCAAAAATGTCAGAACAAGCCATTTTCTGAAAGTTGTTGATTTAAAACGAGGAAAGTCAGTGATCTGTCACCAATTTATATTGTATATGCAGATTTATGTAGCATACGCAATGTATTGATATAAATTATAATAACTGTAATGACAATGTTTGAAAACAATGTTAAAAAAGCCATGATGTACATGATGTAGGCTACTGTACACATTCAACGTAATGCAGGAGAAGAGAAATGGGCCTCTGTCTCCATCTACTGGTCAACTATCAAACCATCAGATTTCTAAGACAATTTTATATTTATTCAGTAGGGTCAGTAAAGCTCTTGCAAGTGGACATGTGATGGTTTGAAAAAATATATATGGAATTTTGTAATATAATTTTGTGACAGAAATATCTATTTGTAATAGGCTATGTATTATTCAATGTATCTGTGTTTACATGTATAAAATGTAGGAATATATAAAACAAAAACTCGTTTGAATTTATTTTTTAAGTTTATAGTATTCAATTAATATTTGCTGAAAACGTGACGCACAGTTCATATTAATGACAGCTTTGAATGATGTATTAGTCATTTCAGTTGCCACAGGCTTCAGCTTCTCTGATGTAAGTCACTGCCTCTGATTCACGTAAATGCAATTAAATCAATTCAACTGACTCTGGGATTGCTGTAATAGTCTAGCACTGTGAACTCTCTCTCGTTCTATCTCTCTCGCTCTCTCTCTCTCAATTTTTTTTTTTTTTGAGAGATCAATAAAATATCCTGCTGTCATGAAGACTGCTAAAGGGACTGAGTGTAGTTATTGTGGAGAAATGACACATGCTGCCAGTATATGTAGCCTGTGTGTGTGTGTGTGTGTGTGGTGGTTGGGGGGGTTTCTAACGGTGCCGCTGACTGGGGCTGCAGCCTCAAACACACAACACTGTCTTTCAGCCATCGAAGAAGAGTTCCTGTACACGAAAACGGTAGGTTTTTCCTGTCATTTAAAACCATTCAGAAACTTTATGCCTCTCCGTGGCGTTTAGTTAAAAGATAAAACGGAGGAACAGGTGTAACGTCTGTATGTCTTATGCAAGAGCGCCATAGGCTTATAAACTGCAGTCCAGTACCATTTCAAGTACGAGTTTTAAATTATTGAAGTTTTTGTCATTCATGCATTGTTAGAAAAAAACTTTATAAATGTATTGATTTATAGGCTAAGTTTATTTGTAATTCTATGTATTTGTGTTTAGCATATAGCAAGTGAATTACCTTGAATATGTATTTCCTGCTGTAAACATCCTGTCTAAATTAAATAACACAAATCTCTCATGGATGTAAGTACATAAAGATAATCAGATATCCTGTGAATTCAACATCCAGATTAGATGCAAACAAAATAACAGTCTTACTGAGTTGCATACTGTGTTTAACAAAGTTTCTGTATGGAGATGTAGGGATGTGTATGAGGTCTGCTCAAAGCTCTTGTACTGTAAATACTGTGATTGTGCTCAAACATTTTTCTCTGTGGTGGGAGTGTCCAGTGTCCATTGTGCATTTGTAACCCAGAGCGAATTACGAAACATCTTATTTCATTTTTCCATCAATGAAGGGCAGCAAAGAATGACATCACCAGATAGTCCAGGAAAGAGCATACTGCACACTCACTCGCTGGTGCCATCCGGTATTACTGTGCCTCTAAATTATTGATTAGGTCTAAATCACTGGGGCCAACAGATCTCTGGTAAAACGCACGCTCTCTCTTTTTATCTGAGGTATGGACGATCATTCTGTGTCTTGTGCCACTGTCTAAGCCCCTCATAATGAGATACATGACAGGTAGATGAAAGGCTTGGGAGGATCCCCTAACCTTTACCATCAAAGTTGTGTTCTGCCGGGGACAAATGCCAGCATCAAATCTGACAACAAAAGATCAGCACACACCCAGAAAACCAGCAGCATTATCTATATTATTTATCAAGAAATCCGTGTTGAGACAGGGACTAAATGGCAATAGGTTCAATATTAAAATGAACACACCATGTGCAATCACACACATATTTAATCCTCAAGCTCTGGTTGTCCTTGTGATCTTCTGGATGTATGGGTAAAAATGAATAAATAACAAATTAAAAAGAACTCAAATGTTTTACTAAATTCACTTGACCTAATGAAAACACAGTAGGCAAATATTACTAAATCTATTACT